AACAATGATTATGAGATTGGTACATGACCCAACAGTGTTTCATTCTGTTGTGCATAGGGTCACTATGACTTGGAACCAATTGATGGCACCTAACAACACAACAACGATGTGGCAGACACTCCCCTGGACATTTTATATCCATTATCTCATTTAATCATCATATCCAAACTGTGAATTAGGTATTAGCCCTGTTTTACATGAGGTCACCATGAGTCAGAATCAACTTGATGGCAATGAGTTAAACAGGCTACAGAGATAAAATACCTATAAATAATAAAGAGGGAAACATAGTATCAGGAAGATACACTAGGTGAGTTTCAATAAGAAAAGGGTCAAGTACAGTAGAGATGGCAAAGAGAATGAGAATGGAGACCTTATGAAAAAATAACACCCATTGAGTTTCTTTTAACTGCAGAATCATACAAAGAAGAAAACAAAATTAGGCTGTATCCTGTCACTCAGATAATCCTATCAAATACATGGATAGATTAATAAAAAAAAATTATAAATATGGTTAGAAAATTCAAGCAGTACAGAAAGATATAAAATGCAAAGAACCTCTTCTCATTCCAGTGACTCTACCCTTACAAAAATCTCTATTATTACGTGTCTTGCATATCTTCCCAGAAAAGTGTTTTTATGTCCACCAGCCTTAAATAATTATCACTTTTTATTTACACAGAAGAATTGCTTTTTGTAATATTGCTGTACACCTTGCTTTTATTATTTAACGTATTTTAGACATCTTTCGCTGTCAACACATGTAGACCCAGCTCATTTTAAAAATAGTTATTCAGTATTCTAGTATATATTCTTGTTGTTGTTGTTGTTATGTGCCGTGGAGTCGGCCCCGACTCATAGCGACCCCTCCTTGGGTTTCCGAGGCAGTATCACTACGGAAGTAGGATTGCCCAACCTTCCTTCCGAGGAGTGGCTGGTGGGTTTGAACCGCCAGCCGTCTGGTTAGCGGGCAAGTGTCTTAGCCACTATGCTACCAGAGCTCCCAGTATATATTCTAGTATATTTCATTCTGCTGTGTATGGGGTCGCTATGAGTCGGAAGCGACTCGATGGCGCCTAACAACAACAACAGCATATTGTGTTGGGTGATTCTTTTCTGCTAGTTGGTAAATTAAAGCATGAATTAAAAAATGAAATGATTCACGTATTTTATTATATTTGTGAATCACTTGGTTTATTGGCTAGAATTTATTAGGCCTACCTGCAGAGGGATGATAAATATAGTCTATAAGAACAATACTGAAGTGTGGTTGACAATATCTAGTGCTTAATAATAATCATAGCTTATTGTAAGGAATATAATTACCATAGCGTACTTATACACTTTAGTAAATGCATACAGGGGATTGGGTGGGTTGGGGAGTCTTTAAGGAGCTCTGGTGGCGTAGTGCCTAAGGCGTTTGACTACTAACCAGAAGATTGGCGGTCCAAACCCACCAGCCACTCTGTGGAAGGAAGGCTGGGCAATATACTTCTGTAAAGATTTACCACCTCAGAAACCCAAAGGAGGTCACTATGAGTCGGAATTGACTCGATGACAGTGAGTTTGGTTTTTTGCAGTTTGGGAAGTCGTTACTATTAAACTATACTGTCATTCATAAGCCTGTTTCCTTTGCTTGTTATGTCTTTGCCCTGAAAATGGTGAGCCTGCCTCTCTTTCCTGCTATACAAAAGATCTCAGCTCTAGTCTGTGAGGAAGTCTGTAGGATGGGGCCAAGCTGAGGAAAGCATCTGTTTCTTTTCCTTCTCTTCTGGAAGAGAGATGTAGGAGTCCAGTCAGAGGTATCAACTTAGAGGATTGTTTGGGTGATAAAGTGGACATTTTAAAATATGGCCAAACTAGCTATCTCTATTAATGTCAACACGGTAGGGTTAGCCGATAAGCAAATGACCTAAATAGAACTTGGTATAAATATGCTTATGATTCCTTTCTTATAAAAATCATATTGCCTTGACTATTTATAGAGGATTATGATTTCTTTAGTAGCATAGTGCCTAAGGCACTTGACTGCTAACCAGAAGGTTGGCTATTCAAACCCACCAGCCACTCCTTGGAAGGAAGATTGGGCAATCTACTTCCATAGTGATACTGCCTCGGAAACCTAAGGAGGGGGTCGCTATGAGTCGGGTGTGACTTGAAGGCACATAACAACAACAACAACATATGATTTCTGAGCTCTGGTGGCGTAGTGCCTAAGGCATTTGACAGCTAACCAGAAGGTTGGAGGTTCAAACCCACCAGCCATTCCTTGGAAGGAAGATTGGGCAATCTACATCCATAGAGATACCACCTTGGAAACCCCAAGAGGGGTCACTGTGAGTCGAATTGACTCGATTGTAGTGAGTTTGGTTTGATTTTTGAAGGTGATCAATTATCCTAATTATTATGGATTCCAACAATTTTGAGGTGTTGTGATGTAGGAAACATTGTGCCTTTGCCAAAGATCTTTCAGGTTTCTGATTGTGATAGTATATTCAGCTTCTATATATATTTTCTTGTGTATTTGACGTCTGTGATGTTTCTCAACAATTTATCTGTTTTTCACCCTTCAGACTTGGAATTGAACTCAGTCCTGTGGCTTCTAGCCAATAATAGATAGGCATGTAAGGTGAACATTTACATTAGGTAGGTACACTCCTTAAAACAATCAATCAGGGGAGATCAGAAGGGCAATATTTACACAGGGAGGTAGCTCAGAGGGCAGGAATGCACAGGAAAGGACACAGAGAAAAGGTAACCCAGGGAGGAAGTAGGAAGAGAACTGTTAAATTGTGGGGATTGCAATCAATGTCATGAAACAAAATGTATATGAACTGTTGTATGGAAAATGAATTTGCTCTGTAAGCTTCCACTCAAATCCCAATTAAAAAAAATTATCTAGCAAGCAGCCATCTAGATGCAACGATGGGTCTCTCCTTGTCGAGAGCAAAGGAGAATGAAGAAAACCAAAGATTCGTGGAAACAATTAGTCCTAGTGACTGGTACACTATGCAATCTGCAGCCTATATGATTATGAGACCAGAAGAACTAAATGGTGCCAGCTACCACTGTCAACCACTTAGAAGGGGATCTATGTAGGAGATGCTGGATAGAGAGGGAGAACAATGTGGAACAAAACTCAGAATCATTTGGGAAAGTAAAAAAAAGGGGGGACCAGGTTTGCTGGTCTGATAGAGCCTGGTGGAACCACTGAGACTATGGCCCCTAGCTGCCCTTCACATCTGGAATTGAACCCACCCATGTGGCTTCCAGCCAAACAAAAGACAGGTGTATGAGTTGAACATTTACCTGAGGTAGATACACTCCTTGGAGAGAACAATCATGGGAAAAAGAAGGGGTGTTTATGCACAGGGAGACAGTTCAGGGAGCAGGAGTACATGTAGGGATGGACACAGGGAAGAGGTACTATGAGGAGGAAGCAGGAGTGGAGCTGTTGCATTGGGGTAAATTGTAGTCAATGTCATGGGTCAAAGTGTATGTGAACTGCTGTATGGAAATTGAATTTGCTTTGTAAACTTTCACCCAAATCACAATTTTAAAAGAAATTATCTAGTTTTATTATTTTAAAATCCCTATAAGAAGTGGAATGAATTTTAATCATTAAAAAACAGCATTTTGCAAATATATATATTGTTGTGTGTCGTCGAATTGGACCGGACTCATAGCCATATATATATGTGTGTATATATATATATATATATATATATATATATATTTACTTACTTACCTACTCACTCACTCACTCACTCACTTACTTTCCCCCCCTCTGTTATTGGAGGAGATCTGATAGAAGGGAGGTAGGAGTTTTGAAGAAGGTGCTGGAACGCCTAGGAAACAAACATTGAACCTCTGAAGTGTGTCTGGGAGAGATTGTATTTTAGCTGCTATACATAGTTTCATATTTTTGAAGTTCAACAGAAATTTTCCTAAGAGTATTAGAGAAAAGGTTTCTGACCCTAGTTGCAGTCTAGACAATTTCCCCCCCCTAGTTTAACAAATTTATGAGTAGAATAAGACAAAAGGGTGAAATGCAGCCGTATTTAGCACATTGCTAATCTAAAGGTCTTCTGGATTAGAGGAATTTGAAATCATGAGAGAGGCCTACTGGATTCTTAGGTATACAGCCTGTACTTCTTTTGATGTTTTTAGCAGTAATTTTCTATCTGGTGAAAAGGATTTTTTCCCTTTATTATACTTTCATTTGATTTATTATTATTATAGTTAATGAAATTACTCAGAATTCTGTAAGTATAAATCGGACTCAGACAATTTAACAGTTTTTTCATTTGTATCTTTTGATGACGTAGTTATTTGGGGAGTCATATACTTCCAAGTTTTTGTTTGGCATTCATGCTGCAATTTTTATATAAGATAAGAGGTAATAAAGTAACTTACATAAATACCTCACTTATTTTGTATACTGTTACTGGTAAACATGAACTGTTGGGTGATATGTCTACACCCACAGAATGTAAACCCCATATTGGGCCAATAGGTGGATAATGTCCATGTGGATTCCAGAATTATCAGTGCCCTTAAGAAACGTAGTTTAGCCCCCACTGAGACCTTTGAAATTTAATCTTTGTCCATTCCACCAAAATTGATCTGTGATGAGGGGTTCCCAGTTTAAAAAATCTTTTAATTCATCCCGAGGACAGCCTTTTCTTTATTTGACCTGACTTACTTACTGGTGCTCTGGACTAGGGTGATCTTAGGCAGGTTGTAGAGGACCCCATGGGTTCAACGTATGGCCCTCAACCATCCCTTATCAAGATGGGCTTACTTACTAGTTTTCCTCCTCTTTTCATGTATTTAACGAGTTTCAGTGTTCTTTGGGGTATTCTAAGATGTTTTATTTGCCTTTATTTATTTTTATGCACATGTGTTTGTTTTTAATGCTGATATTATATTTTTCCTCTTTTATATTTACAGTGAATACAATCAAGTGCCATTTTTTCATTTTGCTGGAAACTGGTGATATGAGGCTGAAGATATCTCTTTTAAAGGAACCAAAACATATCCTTTTAATACTTACATTATTATAATGATCTTATTTTATAGTATTGTTAAAAGTTCTTCTATTTGGTATTCTAGTGGAAGAATGGATTTTTTTTCTTTGCATTTAATGGCAGCTTAGCTAAATTGTTTTTGAAATATTTAAGGTTATGTGTGTTCAGATAACTCTCTAAAGCAAACTATTTGTTCTAAATCTTACTTTCAAATTCTTATTGACATTTTTCTTACTCTACTTGAATACTATACTTAAGTACATAGCAGCAGTCTTTATTTAGTCTAGTAGGATCTCAGAGAAGTTTTTTTTTTTAATCAAATAATTTCTTTGCTTATGTGAGCTGGTGTGTGTTCATTGAGCTCTGCTGTCTTCACAATCATGATAAAGTGGAGGACAAACTGGGGGAAATCTAAGTAGTCAGACCTTTATTTTTCACATGGGAAGGTGGCAATTATTTTCTCAAATACATGATCCTGTATTTTGTCACCAAGAGTTCTCAATTATGTAAAAGGAGAGAGATATGATTGGCTCCTCTAAAATTCTTTGGGCAGTTTTACTATTCAAAGTCATAATCTGTGTTGTTGCAGGTCTCTGAAGGGATAAGTATGGAAATTGGAAGTCAATTTTGAGAAATTTTTATGGTAAATAGACGTTGCCACAACATCCAAATGTAAGACCATTTATCTAGTAATTAATTTTTTATTCTGTTTTACAAAATGTTGATAAATAGTGGGTTTGAAATAAAAATCTGATCTTGCATTTGTAGGTAGTTAGAAAAGTACTGATTTTGACATTTGATTGACCTTTTTGAATTTATATATATTTTTATTTATGTTATTCTGTCTATCTGTTTTGCCTCTTAGGTGAAGATACAATTCATTTTATTTCTCCTTAAACAGTTTTTATCTGTTGTCAAAGTGTGCCCTCCAGGGTTCATGCCATATATAATTTTATAGATTTTGACCATGTCCATCGTCTGCTCTTACCTTTTCAAACTGCAGAATAAGAATCTTTTTAGACTTTCTTATTCCAGTAATCGTCTCATTTGTCCCATGATTCTAGTTAACCTATTAATTTGCAAATACAGTGACCAAAAACTGCATCATACATCTCTGATGTGCTCTTAGCCATTTATATAAAGATGTACTAGTGTTTTTTTTTTTTTTTTTTGCATTTATCTTTTCTCCCTTTTTAGGTTTTGCAATCTTCCTTCAGAGGAATGGCTGGTGGGTTTGCACTGCAAGCCTTCTGGTTAGCAGTCAAATGGCTTAGGCACTACACCACCAGAACTCCTATAATGTTTAGGCTACAACAAATATATTGGAACAGTCTTTTCAAGAATGTTCGACTGACATAAGTTTCTGATTGTGCTTTGTATTCTGAGCACTGCATGCTACTTTATTACATTTTTGTGCAGGTTTTTAAGCTCTTCCTTTAGTATTTTAATACCTTTTTTGGGTTATTTGCTTAATCCTTTGAAATGTTAAAATCTGGCAACATCTGAGAATAATTGTTTCACATTGTTTTTTTTTTTGCCTTAGAAAGAGCTTGTTGACTACTCAGATCAGCCAATGTAACTGTTGCTGAAAAAGGTTGGAAATAAAAAGATTCTATAATAACAGTAAGAGGAAAAACCTAACCCAGAATGATCTGTAATATAGACATTTAGGTTTACCAAAAAAACCAAATGCACGGCTGTTGAGTTGGATCCAACTCATAGTGACCCCTCCTTGGGTTTCCGAGGCAGTATCACTATGGAAGTAGATTACCCAACCTTCTTTCCGAGGAGTGGCTGGTGGGTTTGAACTGCCAGCCGAAGAGAAAACATGCTTTGTAAATGATGAACTTGAAATGCCTTCTGTAGGTACACAATTGTGCTAGGGTAAGCAGCCTGTCCTGATGGATGAACTGAGGGCTCCTTGAGCAATTCAACTTGTATTGAAATCATCTTGTTAAATTGGAGGCTGGAAAGATGATTTAAAGAAAGAATTTTAGAATTCATGTCTTATCCAACATTATGCACCTTGTGTGTGCAGTAAATTACAGCAGAATTACTTTCTGAATTTAATGTCATGAAGTTTGGTTAAGATTTTAGAACATAAAAAAGACCAGTATTACTGGTTGGATGAAGACCAGTGAACCCCCTGAGACTATGACACCTAATCATCATTTTGGCCTGGAATTGGAATCACTCCTTTGGCTGTCTTTTAGCCAAACAATAGACAGGCTTATGAGCTGAACAACTACAGCAGGGAGATGTACTCCTTAGAATAGTTAGCCATGGGAGATCAGAAGAACAGCATTTGCATTGGGTGAAAGCTAGGCAGGCAGGAATGCATAGGTGGAAGGACATAGGGAAAGGGTGACCATGGGGAGGAAGTGAGAGGAAAGCTGTTACATTGTGGGGATTGTAGTCAGTGTCGCAAAGCAAAGTATAAAATGAATCTACTTTGTAAAATTTTCCCCAAATCACAATAAAAACTTAAAAAAAAAAAAAAAAAGATTTTGGTTTCAGCTGTTAAACTTTAAGTTTTTCCTTAGGTATGTTGTTGTTGTTGTTATGTGCCGTTGAGTCGGACACGACTCATAGCGACCCCTCCTTGGGTTTCCGAGGCAGTTGTTGTTGTTGTTGTTGTTATGTGCCTTCGAGTTGTCCCCGACTCACAGCGACCCCTCCTTGGGTTTCCGAGGCAGTATCACTACGGAAGTAGGATTGCCCAACCTTCTTTCCGAGGAGTGGCTGGTGGGTTTGAACCGCCAGCCTTCTGGTTAGCAGTGAAGTGCCTTAGCTACTATGCTACCAGAGCTCCTTTCCTTAGGTATAACGTTATTATAATATGTGATATTTTAGTCTTGTTAATACCTGATTTTTTTTCTTATCAAAAGATACATATTTATTCTAATAATTTAAATCTTACAGATATGTATAAAGAAAGAAAGTATCCTATCCTCTACCAGTTCGCCAATACCTTTTGATCTGTTTGATGTCTTGTGTGTCTTTTGGTCTTGTTTATGGAGTATTTTGTAACACAGGTTTTTAATTTTCATATAGTCAAATCTTTTTTTTTCCCCTCTCTTCTTTTGGCATCTGGATTCCTTACATTGCTTTCCATTCTTTTTACATCTCTTTTGATATTTATTTTCCTTTGTATGGAAAAAAATGTAAATGTTATAAAATGAAAAATACCTTTAGAAGCTTGAAAAATGGTTGACCCTATTTTATTTCCTTTTTATAATCTGTATCTGCAAATTATTTATTAAGATTAAGACTTTTGTGTGTTTTATGTCTCCTTAACCTGGAGGCACATCAAGAATTAGTAAGCTGTGTGGGCTGGACTACTGCTGAAGAACTGTATTCATGTAGTGATGATCACCAGATAGTGAAGTGGAACTTGTTAACCAGTGAAACAAGTCAAATAGTAAAGCTTCCTGATGATATCTACCCGATAGATCTTCACTGGTTTCCAAAAACTTTAGGCATAAAGAAACAGACTCAAGCAGAAAGCTTTGTCCTCACAAGTTCTGATGGTAAGTTTTTAATAAATGTCACATTTTTGTATTTAAAATATATAATGTATTAGTGTGACTTATCCTTTGAGTTGTTTTACAAAATTTGTATTTGTGGTTTTGCCTACTTATTGTCATGGAAGAAAATGAATTAAACTAGAATAAACTGGAGTTCTGGTGGCACAGTGGGTAAGTCATTTGGCTGCTAATCAGAAGGTCAGTGGTTCAAACCCACCAGCTGCTCTGCTGGAGGAAGATGAAGCAGTGTACTTTTTTTTTTTTATTAGGATTTGGGTGAAGATTTACAGAGTAAATTCACTTTT